AACTAAAAAAAAAAAAAAAAACTTAAAGCAACTCAATCAATTTTTCCAATTGAACTATCATTGGTGTACTGGGGAATTGTGAAATAGGTCAAAATTGTACAGATTTTATTATCTCATAAAAGTATTTAACATTCTGTGAACATTTCATGATATTGTTCTCTCTCTTTGTTATTAATTCCTGATTGTGATATTGGAGGGTTGTAACTTTCTCTTAACAAATAGATTGTGCAGGCCAATTGGATATAAAAGAGAATGGAAATAGCTTTTCAAAACCAACATTCCAGACAGGCTTTCTGAAACCGGTCGTTATTTTTGGGTCTGGTTTCCAGAATTGCTCAAACAATGACGTTAACATGTCAAATTCCATGTTCCAGACAGGTTCAGGTAAAGCGGTTAACATATCTTCTGCAGGCCTAGACAGAGCAAAAGCATTGTTAGGTCTGGAAAAAAATTCCAATCACGAGACTTTTGATGGCTTTGAACAGACAAGGAAGCACCTAACCGCAAGTCAGCTTTGTTGTGAAAATCCATCTCCCTTAGAGATGGAGGATCCAGCTAATTTAGGTTTTAGCAGTGTTTCCAGAATTCCCATATCTCCCTACATTGCAAAGTCTAATTCACTCAGAAGCAAGTCCAAAGAATTCACTCCAGATTTTGTGGATGCTGCTCATAAACCTCCTCCAGTCAAGTTCCATACTGCAGGGGGAAGATCCATATCGGTTTCTACGGATGCGCTGCAACGTGCAAGGAACCTGCTTGGAGATCCCGAGTTGGATTCTTTCTTAAATGAAGCAGACGTAGCCGATCCAGCATTTTCAATATTTGGAGACGGAAAAACTACTCATACTTCAAATAAAGAAAATGATCAGATGACTCCATTCTCATGTAATCGGCCATCAAATAGCAATAGTTTGTTGACGAACTTTACATCCCCGCTAAGATCAATTTCAAACCAAAAGCAGTTGTTGGGTAGGCTGGAGACAATAGGTCCAGGGAATAACTTGATAAAAAAGTTTGATGCAGAGGCTAGGAATAACAATCCTATCAGGCTTTATAATGGTACCAATGTAAACCCACTAAAAAATAAATTTCCTACAGAAAGTATGGATTGTTCGGAAAATGAAATTCATTCAAGGATAGATACCACAAAAAGGTTATCAAATGGTCCACTGGCGGATATCTCGAACAGTAATGGCATGGACGGTATAGATAACAAGCAATATTTTGGTGAGAAGAGAAGACTTGGAAGGATTAATTCTGTATCTCCATTCAAGAGACCCCGAACTTCCAAATTTGTCACGCCTCTTCGTAAAAATGATTCATCGGTTCCTAACGGTAAACTGTCAAGCTCTGAAGATAACCTCTTGCTTGATGAAACCTTTCTTCTGAATCTCTAAGGAACATATCTTCATTAGGTTTGTCCAGACTAGCGCCGAAAGAATCCTGCAGCAAAGGAAGAGTTTCTATGCGATATCCATTTCAGGTTCCTCGAGTGTACATTAAGGAATATATTTCACAGCCTTCATGTATCCAAAAGAAGGTATGTTATACATCCAGAATATTTTTTCTTTTACTAATATCTTTTTGCTATAGGAATTAATTCTTACAAGAATATAATATGACTTCAGTTGGAGAATTTGCCATTCAGTGTCAGAAAAATGAACCCAACTGCTGCTGAAAATTACACATTTCATACCGAACCAGTTTCAGATTGCATTGGACCGGAAGCTTTCATCCAGATGCTATCTCAGTCTGGAGCTTCCCCGCAATATTTAACTAAAGAGTAATGTTGTAGTCTTATATCTTGAACGTTGTTTAACTTATTTTTTATGCTGTACATATTCAGAAATATTTTTAGGTATATTGTCCTGGAAGATGATTTTTGATGTTTCAGTATTTTGTACTGCCATCTGGAGAGAAGTGCTATACATACATAGACTAATTGGCAACGATTAGATAAATTTGTTTGTGCTCAAAATTGCGGTGTAATTAAATCGATTGATTACTATATTCATTGAATAACTTTTCTTGGTGGGTTTCTATCTATTATAACTTTCTTTGCCTTCTCATTAATCCTCCAGCCGATCTTATTATTTGATTATTTTCTCCACCATAACTATAGGTGGGTTTCAAATCATTATAAGTTGATTGTCTGGAAACTTGCATCTTATGAGAGATGCTTTCCTGCCAAGTTCTCTGGAAAACTATTGACAGTCTCTAACGTGCTTGAGGAATTAAAGTATAGGTACCTAAGATTCGCACTGCTATTCTTTGTGGCTAAAGCTTCAAGAATGTATGAAAAAAATACTTCATATCCCCTTGCAGGTATGAGAGAGAAGTAAATCATGGCCATCGATCTGCAATCAAGAAAATTTTAGATGGAGATGTGCCGCCTTCTTCGATGATGGTACTGTGCATTTCGTCTGTTGGTGAAAATTGGGACCCTAAGATTGGACCTCAATCTGTTTTGTCAGAAGGCGATGACAATGCAACAGTTGCAAAAATCGAATTAACTGATGGGTGGTGAGAAACTCTTAACATTGATGCTTTTGCTCCAAAATTGATGTCCAACATCTAGCTCGTAATTTATACAGGTATTCGGTGAAAGCTCTACTTGATGAACTGCTATCTAAGAAGCTTGCTGCTGGGAAGTTGTTTCTGGGCCAAAAGCTCAGGGTAAGACGTATTTTTTTATTATTTTTACAATTAGATTTTTCTTCGAGGATTTTCAGCATTTCCTACTGCTTACAGTTTCTATTGTCATCTGAAGATCTGGGGAGCTAAATTATGTGGCTGGGTTGGGCCCATTTCACCTCTTGAGGTCACTGCCTGGTTCCAATTTTCAGCTTATTCTGGCTTGTCGATCTTTTTTAATATAGGTGTTTATTAAGTTGTTTTAAATTTGGTTTCAGGTATCGCAAACAACTAGTATATTATTGCATATAAATGGAACATACAGATGTCATTGGGCTGAACGATTAGGATTCTGTAAGTTCTTGCCATGCTATAATGCATTTTTTCGTATATGAAATAATATCTTTCTGCAGCATATTTGTTGCTTCTTCTGCCTCAGGCCTTGGCTTACCATGTGCACAGGTAAAAGTGCCAGCGTTCCGTTAGCATTTAAATGCATAAAGGGTACTGGAGGATCTGTTCCTAGTACTTTAGTTGGGGTTGAAAGGATATATCCAATTCTTTACAGGGAAAGGTAATCCTGATGATCATTTAACTACTATATGCCTGCTATGTTTTAGGGTCTGACAAGAATAATATCTCGTCCAGGCTTAGTAATGGGGACTTTATTGTGAGGTCCGCGAGGATGGAAGCTAAAGTGCAGCAATCATATAATCAGAGGTGATGCCCTACTTGCAAATGCAAACTGACCATAGATTGCTAACATTTCCCGGATGCATATTCAGTTTTGGATTGTACCATGTGACTACACTCGATATCATTGTCCCGTTTCTTCTATTAGTTCTTGCTTTGTGATATACGTTTTCTTATTGCTTCAATATTTTTATTTTTCAGATTTTAGAAATTTGTGCAAATTTCCATTTTTACACCTGAAAATTGGTCCTTAATCTGATCGAACAATTATATAAACTATCATAAGTTAGAAGAAACATATATATGTTTTCTTGGATTTTTGAATATGAATATGATGTGGAATATGGTTTGCTGCAGAGTAAAGCCTGTTATGTCAAAAACTATGAAGCATGGATATGGACAAGTACACATAAGTTTTCAGAAAAATAGGACATTGGCTTGTAGATAGATATTCTTTTAAATTACAGTTATATTTTTCATCTTTAGTTTTATACTAAATAATTTTTCAATAAAATTATACTCTTTCTTAGCTTTGACAGTGAAGTTGGCATATAAAATCTTTTGAATTTGAGGAATATCTATTTGTTTATTAAGATAACTTTAAGTTGTACTTTGTCTAACTAGTGCAAATCAAATAAATGTATTAAGCAGTGCATACGATAAATACGAAACAAATTTGACATAAAGTTCTTTAAAAAATTATCTCATTATTGCCTTATTTTATCAAATGTTTTAACATACTTTTATATTTCAAAATTTTAAAAATCCACTGTTGTGTCCTTGATGTGTCTGGATAGACTGTCTCCTTGCACATTAAAATTTGTAACATACAGGACAAGCTGCGTGACAAGTAAAATTTTAAAAACATAATACTAGGACATGCCATGTGGCACATTATACACAACTACATGTATCTCAACATGTCCAAGATGTATTGGTATTTGATGTATTTGAAACCGACACTCCTATCTGTGCTTCGTAGGCTTCTGTGGAGCCTATTAATGTCATTATGGATGTTTTAGAAGATCATCGTGTTGCTTCACATGGAGTTCATCATGTATTCTTTATTCTCTGTCTATCATTGTGCATAGAGATTTTTTAAATTTTAAGTTAATTAAACTATGAAACATATGGAACTATAGTAGGAATAGGATAATAATGGAGTCACAAAAAAATATTTTGCCATATAGTGATTGTTTTAGAAGGATGATTTGAAGAGGATGTAATTTGTCCTACTAAAGCGGAATGGATGATTGGAGATGTACTATATGTATTCTACGTGACAGGAAGATAACATAAATTTGGAATGCAAGGTCTGATAGAAGTTTATTTTATGGTACCAAGTGTTGGGTCGTTAATAGGCATAACGTTAAAAAATGAATGTAGTGAGAATTAGAATATTAAGGTAAACCTGTAGCCATACAGGACTGAATAAAATAAGAAGCAAGAATGTATGCCTACAAAAAGGATAAATTAAAGAAGGACGACTTAGGTTTTTGGAGTACATTTTTGCATAGATGAATTGAAATTCACATTTTTTTTTTGATAACCGTGGATGTTCGGACCAGCTTACGCGCACCTCGACTAATTCACATTTATAAGAGCAATATGATCCCGTTAGAACAGATTAGACTTGTTAAGAAGAAAAATGTGGACTAAAATTATATGGCTTTATGTGATTGGATGTATAATTTTATTGGATCTTCTATATGTGGGTAATGGACCAAAGTTGCGTGAAATGATTCATGTGATTCCAAAATTGTGGGGAAAAAGGTTTGGATTGCTGTTGTAAAGATTTAGAATATGAATTGAGGAGAATTTTGGGTGGTACTAGAATAACGACATTATTTGACTGTCAAAAGTTTTTCCCATCCTCTGTTTTAAATGTAAATTCTATTTCATATGAGGTAGTGCATATATATCGTTGAGTACTCACTTGTAGTTAAATAGAATGGGGTATGGAGTGGTGGTTGTTGTGGCAACAAATCAAGTGACAGGACTAGAAGGATGAATATCATTTTAAGATAACTGATTCTAAAAGAGAAATAAAATCATGTTTAGCACTTCCACTACTGAGAGAATGACATCAATGTGTTAAAAAGATAAAAAATAATGCCTATCATATATGATTTGCTAACTTGCAGAGAAAAAGCTTGTGTTGCTAATGACAAAAAAAGAAGAGGCAAATATAGCTTGAACTTGTTACCAACTTAAAAATATCCCAAACAGGTGTATCCACAAATCCCCTCCCTAAGGAATTAACCCTTTTCACATTTGGTGGTATGGAAAGGGCCGTAAGGTATTTAAGGTTCTGGAAAAGTTAGGATCACTACTTTATGAGATGGAACACATTGTTATCAGTTGATAGCAAACAACAGCAAAAAAGAACTGCTACTTGTAAATTAATGTAGCTATAGAACTATACTTGATGCTTTATCTCTTCTTTGGGTCTAGGCGATCTGTTGTTGCAGAAGGGATTATGTCTGAGTTCCAAAAGGAAAAAGAAGTTTCTGTTGGCGATGATGACCATGATAATGATGAAGGAGCCAAACTCTTGAAGTTACTTGAGACAACTGCTGAACCAGAATTACTAATGGCTGGGATGAGCTCAAAACAATTAACCTCTTTTACTTCTTATAAAGCTAAACTAGAGGTATGGCAAGACATGTTTCTTTACTTACTGTTACAATCTTCAGCAGGAGTTCTGTTCATGATGTCCTCTGTATGCTAGGAAATGAGGCAGTTGGATATGCAAAAATCTATTGAGAGAGCTCTGGAAGCATCTGGCCTAAATGAGAGAGAGGTCACTCCATTTATGCGGGTTAGAGTTATCGGGTTGACTAATAAATGTCATCAACGAAAATGCTACCCAGGCAAAGGCTTGATAACTATATGGAACCCAACTGAGAAACAGGTGAATTCAATTGTGGCCCATAATCTACTGACTTATGTGCGTATAATATCGAGTTTCTGTTCAGACTTCTTGCTTTCTTTTCTAATTACATGCTTCTTGATACATCTTTGGGATAATTTCCTGCTATCTTTGACAGAAACTAGACCTGATCGAGGGGCAGGCATATGCTGTTGGAGGTCTTTTACCATGCAGCTCCTATTCAGGCACCCTTTACTTGAAAGCAAGAGGCTCAACTTCCAATTGGCTGCCTTTGTCTCCTTCAATAATTGAAAAATATGAGTAAGCTAATCTGTTAGACTTAGATCTCTGTGTGCTTGAGAGTGTGAAACAGATTGAATGGCTGACAAGTTTTCTTTGCAGGCCTTTCTTCACTCCACGATCATCAATTACAATATCAAATCTGGGTGAAGTTCCTCTCTCCAGGTGGGCGTTCTCCTAATTTCTTGGAATTGGTTCTGCTTCTATCATAACTTTAAGGTTTTTACTAATGTTTCTTGCACAAAATTTGTTCAGTGAATTCGATATAGCTGCTTTCGTTGTTTATGTGGGAGAGGTGTATACAGAAGCTCATCAAAAGAAGCAGTGGGTGTTTGTGACGGATGAATCGGCATCTGAATTGTTTTTCAAGGAATCATCAGATAAATTGTTGGCCATAAGCTTTTACTTGCCTTGCATAGAGCGTGATTCATTTGCACCAGTAAACTATAATGTTGCAGGATCTGTGGTAAGTACTTACAAGTACACGACACATCCTTCATTGTTAACTTGTTCATGCAGTTTTGTCGAAGTATATATATTATGGGTTTGTTTGAGCCCCATTTTTTATCGACAATGGATTTTCTAATAGTGATTTTTTTAGAGAATATGTAGTTAAAAATTAGGGAAAAGTTTTGGCTTACGTGTAAAATTATTTTATTAGAATGTGTGGTTGAAAATGAGTTTTTAAAGAATGGGGTGATCAAACAGGGGGTACATTTTCAGTTGGTTGATCTTTCAGTTGTCTTTTGATACCAAATTGGGGAAGTCTGTTCATAGGATCGAATGGACTACGAGCAATATTTGATTATGATATAGCTTCGATTTTATTTTTGCCAGTAAAAAAAATTTCCTGCATAACCAGAAAGAACATAGATTAGACCACACAGTCATCCATATTTTACTCTACCTCACTTAATAACTTTCTCAAAGTTTATTTTCCACGCATTGAAACCATTTTTCTTTAGAACGTTGCTTGCATAATTCCTCAAGAGTAATAGTTTTTTATTTGTTTAAGAAATTGAATTCCAGAAGATTCTACCAGTTTAAAAAAATTCAAAAATATACTATAGATTGGTTTCTGATAACATCACTAGTAAATCATAAGGATCATATCTTCCATTAATTTATGTGGAAATATCACTTCAGCCGATCTTTCCAGGTTGTGTTTCGTAATCTCATCAAAAGACCTAAAGATCAAGTGAATAACCTGTGGGTGGCGGAAGCAACTGAAAATTCAGATTATTCTATAAGTTATGATCATGCGGGTTACAACCATTTGAAGGATGCTGCTACATCAATGTTAAAATGGGCTAAGACCTCAAGCTTGGTATGCCTCATAGGACTTTTGATGTGCTATCAAATTTGTCAATTTTTCCATGTGAACCAAATGTTTTTCCTTTTTGTTAATGCAGATAATAGAGAAGCTTAAGGAAGATGTTCTATCTATTGTAAGAAATTCTGAAGTCGGAAATTGTTGAAAGAACCTATTTAAGCTCAGAAACACGTAAGTTTCTTTGTACTTAAGGATTTTCATTAATTTGTCCAGTTACCAAGTTCTTATCGTTTTGCAATAAAATGGGATAACATTGAGTAACAAAGGAACCTGACAGAATATAAAGAGAAACAGACATGGATTGAAGTTAATTTCACATAAAGAAGAGACGAGGACAAGCTTATGTTCAGCTCTTTTGGTGGAAAATGCTACATAATCTTTCTATTATATGCTGATTTGGATGCAATATTTTGCAGACATCTGAATATCACATCAGTTGAGGTTGAAGTCCATATCAACAGGTTAATGACAGAATTAAACCTTTCCTTTCAACAGTGTTGTCCACTGATAGTTCTGTTTACTTGACATTGTCAGTTCAGATGGCCCAAATGACTATCGCTGCATGAAGGAACCCAAATTTCAGAGGGCCATTGTGATTTCAAGATTTGGAGTATTTTATGAACTAGTCGACTCAGTTGGCCTGCATTACATGGCTTTGTATAGTTATTTTCGGTACATACTGCTCTATAGGCCCATAGGGTGGGGAAAAAGTACTCCTATTCTGTGTTGGTATACAAGTGAAATCAAGTATTGCAGTTCTTGGAAAATAGAATATTTCATTAAACAGGCTCAATTAAATTCGGTAAATGTTGTAGCAAGCTTGTGCTGTGCCAGTTTTTGTTGAATTTTGATGGTAACATGAACAAAAGCCACTTCCACGTCTTTTGTTGTAATATAAATGGGTCAAGGTTGCAAAATTGGTGCCAATGTCTTCAAAAAAATTTCTTCAGTTTATTTATAATGCATTTCATGACAGATTTAGCTCTTGTTTGGTTTATTTACTGAAGTTGATAAACAACACGAGAGATCGTTGACCTTTGTATCTAGTTGCAATTGGTTATTGAACATCAATTAGAACAACCAAGCCTTAAATCATTCATTTCACCTAAACATTCATGATTATCCTTTCTTATATATGTACCCTATAAAGAGTTGTGGCAACTAGGGAAAAAAAATAAAAAAAGGATCCAAAACTCAAATTTTTAGTGGTTGTTCTCTTTGTGTTTCAGTTTTTCGTTTTGTGTTTTGAGCGTTCGTTTTGAAATTGTTGAAAATGAGTTCTTTTTGTCATTTTGAAAAATTATTTTCAAAAATAAAAAAATTGGAAAAGTTGTTCTCTTCTTTCCGTCTCTGTCGTCTCTCTCTCTCTTCTATCCCCTCTTTTTGTCGTCTCCCTCGCAAGGTCGTTAATGTCGAAGACCACGATGGAGCTGTTGTGACAACTGACAAGCATTGGTTGTGTGCGATCGTTGGCTTCTTTGCCTCTTTTTTTTTGATTTGGTGGTTGGTTTGGGTGCGGTGTTGGTGTACGACGTTTTTTGGTCGCGGTTGTGGCAGGTGTGATGGTGTGTGGTAGTTTTGGGTGCGTGGTGTGCGACGATTTTGGGTTGCGATTGTGGCTGTAGCAGTGGTGTGCGAAGGTTTTGGGTCTCAGTTGTGGTGGTGGTGTGTTGCGGTTGAGGTGGTGGTGTGCTACGATTGTGGCTGCGTGGTGGTGGTTTTGGGTCGAGACGTCGCCTGCGGTGGTTTTGGCGGTGCGGTGGCGATGACGGTGTGGTGGAGGCAGCAATGGCAGTGGTTTTTGTTGGTGGCGTAATTGAAAACAGCCAAAACATATTTTGAAAATTTTGGCTTGATTTTAACTAAAAACACCAAAAACGACATTTTTGACGTTTTTGATTTTCTTTGTAAATTGTAAATTCGTTTTTGAAAATTCATTTTTGAAAATAGGTAAGTAAATGTGTTTTCACTATTTTGAAAAATTGAAAACAGAAAATGAAATGAAAACGGTAAAGAGAACATCCCCTTAACTTTCCAAATTCAAGCAGTAGTTAGCTCAATTGAAATGAGAAAAAAATTATAATTCATCTAATATCACAAGAAAAATCGAAGATTAGATATCCACTTGATATACAATTCAAGTGAAACAAGGAAAATCCAACATAGTTCCTTCTCAAAACCAAAATCCAGTAAAAATATGATCCAATAAATGAGACATTTAAAGCGATTCAAGAAATATGATTCTGCTTGCGGGTCCCAAATAAAATAGAATTTTAGTTTTGTAATTGTAATATGATTGTTAGAATTCCACATTAATTAAAAACTGAAATTCCATTCTTTTATGTTCCTAGAAATACATGGCTTCTCCTTAATATTTCATTTATTCCATGTTTGAGATAGTCATGGATTGTCTTGGGATGAGACTTTGGGATCCTTTGTAGTCTCATCCAATATTCGTATTTTGGGTGTGGTTGGAGGTTTGGGATGTGTGATATGATTGTACTATTTTTTCCGTATAGCGAAATATTTTTGCCCTTGACAACTCGTGATTTTTTTTCGGTTCGAGTGTTCCCACATAAATTTGTGTTGTTATTCTCCATCTATCGTATATTTTTTCCTCTCATTATAATTTCTTTGAACAAGGATCCTGTGGAAATATTGAGAATTTGGTCTCAATTTCCAACAAGTTTTATCAGAGCGTCAAGTCGTTCGGAGTGTTGGAATATAGAAAAAAATGTGTGACATGGAGAAATTTGATGAGATAATCAATTTTAACTTGTGCAAAGTACAAGTCAATGGTGTGTTAATTAAGTCTGGATTGCACGAAAATAATCTGGAAAAAAGATTCATTCCTACTCTCGGGAGATGTGGACAATTGGACACCTCAAGAAAAATTGTCCAAAAAATGGTAGAGGATAGTAGACTAATGGCTTGAGTCAATAAATGGAGATATTAACGTTGTCAATAACGCGTCTCTTTCCTCTGTGAGAGACAATGATATTCTTTGGGAAGTATATGTTCATCCTTATGGCATGTATTACGATAATAAGTTGCCATTATAGAGGGCATTGATTGATGTTGTTTCATAGTCGCTTTGTTGTTCGCATCCTCTCCCAATTTGGTATGTTCAATTCTTTTTGTTGAATACACATTTGATGTTGTGTGGATTGTGAAGTAATTATCGGATTGACAGAAAGAGTAGAGAGATTGAAATGAGAAATCGGAGCCTGAACAAATAGGGAACAAAAGAAATTGATCCAATCAAAGTTTAATGTGCTGACAGAGATGGACACATTGGCATTACTTTCTTTCGATGAAGGGCCATGACGAGAATGAGAATGAGAATGAATTTGAGGCAGATAGTAATCTAAATTATTATTACATATAATAAGTTGCACTTCGTATGTAAAATCCAATTTCATCTGTATAGAATTTTAATATCAGAATAGCAGATATAGTCTTAATTCTACTTCACAATTTTTATTTGGTACACCATTTATTAATTGTACTAAAGGTTTTGTCGCACTTATTTTCTCACTTTTTTGTCCTATTCTTATCCTCAATTTTCTGCTATGTAGCTCATCCTGTCATGGTGATAATTTTTGTCTTAATGGCAAATATTATGTCACACTTTTATATTTTTTGCTTAGTTAAAAAAGAGAGGCAAATAAGTCCTTTTACACTCTTCTAACGAACTTTTTCAATGGAAGGCGTCATCAATGACAAGACGTGCTAGTTGTTAGATGATAATAACACAACAAAATCTTCGGAAAATCTAATAGAATAACAGTGGATGTTCTTAATTTTATTCGTTTTTCCATCTCCATGCATAGAAATCAATTTTAAATTACTCGTTTAATGTTCTATTTTTTTTAATAAAAACGATCGAGTCACGACTTCCATTTACTGAATAATTTAAAAACCATGTGAGATTAACAGATAAGTACTTTGTTTAAGTCCATCGTAAGTAACAAACAACTTGAAATAATCATGCCATAAGAATTCCTTGCCCCTTGTTGATTACTCTTTCTGGATAACTCTCAACAACGTAGTTTGAGCAAATGGCAAGCACATCTGCACATGCAAATTAGTTCTTGGAACGTGGAAATTTAGATACAACTTTTATTCTATTGCTGGCCTCCTCCTCTTTGGCTTTGTTTTTGCAGCTCTTTATCTAACAGAGAACAGTAGCCGCTTCCTGGAAGAGCAGACTTCGCCTAATGATTCTGTACCGCACTGTGATTTGTTCTCAGGCAAATGGGTTTACAATAACTTATCTTACCCTCTGTACAAGGGGAAACAATGTTCTTTCATGGAGGACGACTTTGCGTGTGAGAAGTATGGTAGGAAGGACTTGAATTATCAAAAATGGCGATGGCAACCTCATGATTGTGACCTTCCATGGTTCATTGTTACCTCTATTTTACACATATATACACATATTATGTTTGGTACACAGTATTGAACAAGATAATAAAATGGTCAAAACTAACTTCTTTTTCTTCGTTAATACTATCTAATCCTATCCATTAGTAAGTATAAATGTGCTCCTACAGCATTAAGAAATGATTGGTTTTAAAGTCTGTTCATTGCAGTTGTTAGCAATTAAATTGGTAGTTTTTCCGTTATGTCAAGGTTCAATGCTACTGCATTGTTGGAGAAGTTAAGCGGGAAGAAACTAGTATTTGTAGGGGATTCTTTGAATAGAAACCAGTGGATATCAATGGTGTGCCTAATTGAGTCTTCGATCCCTCCATCATCATCTAAATCCTTGATCAGGAAAGGAAATTTTCTCTTCTTTCAGGCCACTGTAAGAATTTTTTTTTGTTTCTTGAAATTCAGTACTGGGTTGTTGTAACGTTTTCAGTTTTTCACAGATAATTAACTGGTACACAATGATCATAATATTCTTGTTAAATCCATGAAGGACTACAATGCGACTGTGGAATTCTATTGGTCTCCTTTGCTGGTTGAATCTAATTGCGATGACTTAATACACTGTGAAGTTTAACCTCTTTCTTTGCACCAAGAATCCGAGCTCATAATTTCCAAACGACACCACAAAGTGAAAACCCAAACCAAAACCTTGACCAAACAGCTGCTCTTCCTCTTTGCCCACAAAAGGAACTTTGGATGGAGAATAATATAGCCACTGGTTTGCCAGAAAGGCGAAAGAGAGAAGAAGATGAAGTAGCACACAGCCACTTAGAGAAGCAGGAAGCACAAAGCTAAAAACCGCCGGTTTTCTCTCAATAGGGGCTATCAAAATAATTCTCACACACTAGCAACAGTAACGGGCATAGGGAATATATAGGAATTAGG